TAGTTTTAATAATTGTTAAATATAAATGTATATAATAAAAATTATTATTAAAAACATATACCATATATATATATGTGTGTTTTTATGTATATTTTTAATTTAATGTATATTTTTTATATTATATATCATATCAATCAAGATTAATATATCAAAATATTTATTATTAATGATCTAATTTTATAATACTTCATATACCATATATCATTTATACCAAATAACAAAAAATAATTTATATATCTAATAGTATTGTATATGTAATTTACAACAAACAATAATTTCAAACAATATGAATAAGTATATATATGTAATATTTGTTCATTACACATGTATATTATAATATGTAATATATATTATATAATATATAATAATATCTATTTAAATTACATATTAATATATCTAATTTTTATTAATATATATTATTAAATTAATTGACGTTTTCAATAAAAAAAATTGTATCAACATGTTTCACATATATTTAAAACAAAGACAACCATTCAAATTTCAGGTTCATCACCCCAGGAAGTGTCTATCTCAGTCCTTACAGCCGTATTCTACACAATAACACAGAAGACAAAAAACAAAACAAATAAAAACACATTGCCCACCCCTCCCTTTGCCCCCTTCCCCCTCACAAACCCAAAATGTATTCTCCTGCTAGGCTTCACATGGAAGGGTGTTAAAAATACATGTATACCCTTCCTCATCCTTTATTCATACCTATTCCTTCCTTTATGTTTATGAGACTCAGAGGCTCGCAGGGTCCAGCGTTCTGACCCAGGGGTGCGCAGAGGTTCTCCAGAAAGTTCCTCTTTCTCAAACCTAATCCACTTTAAATAAGCCCAAACACTGAAGAACTACTTCATACGTACATACTGTATGTTGGGATTGTGACAGCATTGCAGCAGTCGAAAGTCCACGAGGATTTATTAGTAAAGAGAACAACAATATTCATTACTGTTATTATTAATATTCTTATCCATAATGGAATTTTTTGACAAATGCCAACAAAATGACATAAATATGGAAAAAAGTTCTGCTTGTGCGGTTTATGTAGGTCCAGAGGGTTGTTTTTCTCCCAGCCATTGGGTGTCAGTATAGAGAGGGATGTTGTTAGTGCCCCTCTGTGAGGTCTGGGGGTGGAAGGGGTGGATGTTGTTAGCGCTGTCTACATCCTCCGGGGTAGCAATGCTCCCACGGGACAGTTCTCTGCTTGTTCACTCATCTGTGTGATGGAACAACGCGAGCAGGGGGTCACCGACGGCTCTACGACAGTTGGCCCTTATTGATTAGATAATCAGCCTGTCACCTAATACCAGTGTTCTTTACATTATCCCCTGCCGGGACGAGCATGACTGTTATTGCTGACTGCAGGGGATTCCTGCAACAAGCACCTTTTATGTCCACTATTCTTTTCCACGTGGACTGTTCGCTCTTTTTCCCGCTTCTTCCTCTGCTGGACTGTGGGGAAGAGTGTTTTCATTATTTGCCAAGATTGGTATGTCAATCCTTTTGCCCCTGACCCAAGTTTAGAAATGCTTTGGATTTTATTGGAGGAATGATTACGGAGTTATCTCGCTACCTCACTCTGAGGCCTTTATACTTCCACCCTTCGTATACCTTCAGGCAAGGATTGGATTTGATATCCAGGACAGTACCTTGGGATCCGCTCGCTGTCTACTTTCTGTCGCTTTCTATTGTTTCGCTGTACCCCCCATTTCCTAAATGTGTCTGTGTGTGTTGCTGATTCAGATCTTTTTTACACTTAGTTTTTTATTCCAACAGTGTTTTCCAGCATTTCCCCTTGTCTCTCTGGGAAATGCTGGAAATAAAAAAGTTTATGCAGAGGACAAATGTGAGTAGGGTAACACAGCAACAGCATCCCAACCACCTTCCCCTGGGGGTCACGGGTGTCGTGACCCTGCAGCAGGTGCCACTGATCTCGCTGCCCAATCGCTGTCCCAGTTTCCCAGATTTCCGTCCACACCTGCGCTCGGATGAAGATTTCCCATTTAGTGTGATTTTTAGGAAACTGATTATTTTGATTAATAGTACAAGTGATTTAGAATTTTAAATGTAAATGAATGAAAATAAAATTTATTTCCAAGCTTTATGTAGGTAGGTTATAATTGTAACACCAAGTTAATATTATTCCGGCCATACCTTTTCCACATCTCTAATTTAAAGCTTTAGATCTATAACTATCCATATATTTCTCTGCTCAGATAATATATATTTATGTTTTATCTCTGTTTTGGTAATAACTATTTTACCCTACCAATGTATCTGTTATTATCATTATTATTATTACATTTTATTGTATTACTTTTTTACATTTAAATACATTGAAACAAACCTGCTTCACATTTCATTTAAAAGTCCAGCAAAGAAATAGAGAGAAAGGACATAATGAACGTGCAGATGTTTCTGTTCCTTGCACTGAATTTCATTTAAAGCAACGTGACAAAAAATGGCAATCGTCAGAAAAACATGGGGAAAAGACAGTCGCCCAAATCACGATGCAAATTGCACTTTGATTGACTCTTAATTTCATCTGAAGGCTGTTTTGTTTGGTTTTTATTCTGAGTCAATGAGCTTAATCAGAGTCACTGATCCTGCGGCTCTAAGCTCTCCGTGTTGTGTTTTTGTTTGTCGGGAGATCAGCGAGACTCTATCCGCACTTCATTAACCCTGAGCCGGGGACAATCCTCGGTAAGAGCCGAGGGATTTACCACTATCCTTTCACATGCAAAAATCTCTGCGTCTATTAACAAGACCGAGGAGCTTTTCTTGCAATCAGCTGCGCACTTCGCAAGAATAACCCTTTTCATAAATATTGAGGGGGGTCATCAGCCTCCTTTGGATCATGTGCAGATCCATGTGATAATTTAAATGTTTGATCTGAATTGATATGTCATTTTTTTACGTGCGCATCTGTTCAAAACAAAAACCAACGTTTCTTAAATTGCTCTCAATGTCTTGGTTAACAATGTATTTTATTGAGTATAATGCGATTGTTATTTTATTTGCATTATTGCCATTAGCAATTATTATTAGTTTTTATTTTTTTATATATAATTTAGCAATATTCTGTGCAAAACAATAATTAATTATTTTGAAATTGTACTTAAAAATAGTAAAAAAAAAAAAAAAACTTTTTGTTGCGTATTTCCCCACATCAATAACAAGCCATAAATGTAGCCTACGTTCTTAAAATGTTTTCTCGCTCTCTAGTGATTCATGGCAGGAGCCCAATGATGAGACGCAGGATGACATGTGCTATGCGAAAGTTTGCAGCAGGAGCCCGACTGATCACACGTTATCGACGTTCAATTAAAAGCTATTAAGGTCTTTTGTCTGCTCGTTAATATCCCATTCAGTCGCCCTGTCAGAGCAGTCCCTAAACCCTGAGCTTCACGGACCGGTCTCATGGTTGGGTTAAAGTCAGTCTAGGCTCACGGAGGGGGAATGAAGGGGGGTCCCGTCATGCCGCTGACCAGATGTCCCCTTGCTGATCCGAGCCGCAGTCAGCACTGCCCGGTGACCAGCTGTTGGGGCCGTTTGGCAAAGAGCAGCAAACCAACACTCTCAAGAAAGGGTATGGAAACAATCCATTTCCAAATGGAATCATTTAGGGCACTTAAACAATTACACACTTAGGCGACCATTAATATTTCATCCACATATTGTTTATGAAAACTAAATGAAATGACTCCGCTTGCTTAGTGATGCATGATGCTGTTTTAAGAGTGCAAAAAAGTCTGTCACTTTACTCTTGTAGACACGAGACAATGGAGGCTGACAAGTGTTGAGTGTGTGTGCGTGAGAGAGAACGGGATCTCATACCCAACAATCAACGTCCAATCTCTCAGTATTTCCCTTTTCGTACTGCCAATAAAATGAACATCGTTTTAAATTGTATTGAGAACGGCTCATATGATTCATGATCAAAATGATATTTAAAGTGTGACCTATTAATAAGAGGTAGTCGCGTTAAACTTTAAAATATGAAGGTAGAATTAAGTTCCCAAATCTCCAGGCGTTTCTGAAAGGTTAGGGAGGTGAATGTTCACTTCCTTGGGTGCGACATTCTTATTAACTTTTTTTCCCGTAGGTTCGACAAATTAAATCCACGATGCTAACCAAATAGTGTGGGGTTTGAGCAAAGTGTCTGACAGTCATGTTTAAAATTATTCAAACACATTTGCCAGTTATAGAGTTCTGTGAGCTCGAATTTTATGATATTGCTATCATAGCGTTTGTTTACGTTTATTTTCATAAGCAAACTTTTACTTTTCATTACATTTCTGAATACGTTTTAAAAGCAATGACTTGGCGTAACCAGCGTAGCCTAACTAATAGCCTATGTGTATTTTATTGGTTTACTTTTTTTCTATGTTGAAACTTAGTAACTTTTAAAAACGTATACTTAAGACAATTTAGCCTGGGTTTCAATTATGGAGAATAGGCCTAAACCATTATTTTAACGACTCGTTTTTTCGCCACACCGTGTTGACCTATTTTTTTCCCAAAATAAATTAAATATAACATTTATATTTTCAATTATATAAATTATAAAATTATACTTTAGTGTTGGCCCACTTATCGCTTTGCCAGAAATTCACAATGTGGATTATTTTCTCGTGAAATTACTCGAAACGAAGTAAGTGGGACGAAACAAAAATGTTTATAGTAGCCTACATGTACATTTGTCAAAAGGTAAAATTGTCTCATTGGTCGCAGAAAGTAACACATCATGCATTGGTTGCATGTAGTTCTGGTTCTTGTTGCAAAGTACAGGATTGGCAAGTTTTGCAATAGCAATTTTGTTAATTCATGCATTTATAATGTGTCAATGTTCAGGTCTGGCACGCGCATTATGCACCTACATACCTTTTATATTGGCTGTTGGTTTAGTGTAACTGAATTGTCTATGAGAACACGAGTGTGTATTTACCCAGTATTTGTATAGGCTACCTCCACATTCTCAGTCAGTGGTAAATTAATGAAAGATCTTTATTAGCACATTTATAAAAGTAATTCTCCTTGCTTAAAGACCACCCTCCCCCGCACATCCAGCAGTTTTAAGAGTTTTCAAGAAGTTCACACCGCTAAGCACACGGGGGCACGAACGAAAATCATTTGGAATTACGAGAATCATTACTTCACAAATCATTATTCTCAATATACAGCTTCACCAGAAAGAATGACAAGATATTTCAACGGCTTTATACAGAGTTATTGCACAATGCCTGGGCGAACACTTTACATGTCATCTCCTTTCAGACGTCTTATTGATCACAAGTGATCTGAAACGAGGACTTGGCGTTTTCCCGTCAATATCAAAGTGATACTACTGGCAGTTGTGCAGGAATATAGAAACGAAAAAAGCAGCACAAAAATAATCGATTGATAATCGATTAATAATCCATCTCGTCCAATCCACCTGCTTGTTCTGTTTAGGCATAGCACTCCGTACCATTCAACTGTTTGTCAAATAGAAAAGTGACACTTCTCCATTTAAGTTGCTTTTTCATTTTGTAGAGTCGTGTCGGGTTTTTAACGTGCTGCTCACGTCAGTCTCACCTGTTAACGTAAGGCTTGGAAATATGATACAAAAAGAGAAAATTCGAGATTTGTCTTTCAACATAAAACAAAATATTCTTATTTACACCTCTTTTCCTTTGTACATTTTAGAGGGTCACTACAAAGCTCACGATTTATGACCTGGATTTCATCTCAGGATAATTAAATATGAATCTACCATTTAAATATTCTTTGCGTCAGGGATGCACCAACAATTCACATTTGTAATATTGATTAGTTAAAATAATAATAATAATAATAATTTGTGAAACGAAATGTCCCTGTATAATATCATGTCCCGTTATTATTGCGTTCAGTATATAACGGTCTGTATTTGTTTTCTCCAGATTTAACATTTAGGGTACACAAAAAAATATAAACATAAGTTAAAAAAACACAAGTAAAATAAATAATTAAATAAAGTTTAAAGATGTCTCTAATCACTTTTTGTGTGTCAGTTTGTTTTTGTGGCTTCGTAAAATTTCTCGAATATTTTGTCACCAGTAAAATAGCTTTTTAATGGTGGAGTTCAAAGCTGCCATGTATTGCAACGAGTCCGAATCGTGCCGTTCATCGTGGTGGTGTCGGTCTGGGTAACACACCGGAGAGGGGGGGCAGAGGCGGCGGTGGCTCGTTGGCGCCCTGGAGTCCGTGCAGAAGAATCCGGGGAACGAGAGGACGCTGCAGCACAGGCGGGGGCGCCGATGGTCCCCTGTATAAGTAGAGCGCTGCTCCAGGGTCCAGATTCGACACCAGGCTTTGAGGGTAGAAATACGGCGAAGGGAACATCCGTTGCAGCGCGGAATAATTTCCAGCCTCCGCTAACAATTCCAGTCCGACAGCCGTTTGCCTCTTCCACTTTGTCCTTTTTTCCAAGACAAAAAAGGATGATGTTAGTGTATAAAAATTAAATTGAAATTATTCTACGACTAGTGTTTTATCTTCTGATAGTAAAAGCTGTGACAAAAAGAAAACAAAAATTCACGTGTATTGTCTTGCATGCTTATTCCCAAGCGAAAAACCCAAAGAGTTCAGAGAAATAAAAACGGAATCCTCTGTTTCTTTATCTTCTAAGTATCTGTATGAATATCAGCTTTTAACCACACAATTCAATAATAATATGATTTACGTTAAAATAGAACATCGTTAGAGCTTTGTCACTTACATCTAAAAGATTAATGAGCCTATATGAATTGCAATGTGAGGGGAACGAGCAATGGAAAAGTTTCCTCAAGTATTTTTTATATTTAATTCACATTAATTGTGTAAATAATATAAACAAGATATAACGTAAATAGCAGGCAGCAAATGTCACAGATATTTCAGTAATTCATTTTATTTCATGGAGGATCGACGCATGCAGCATTCGTGGATAAAATGCTGTATATTAATTTCAAATCTTTAACTTGTCACAAAATTAGATGCTGCGAATACAACTGAAATATGCAAGTTCTACCACTTGTAGAAGTACAATAGCCTATATCTGTTTTGATTTTTTAAATTTTCTTAATATAGAATATCTTCCTTTTTATTTTGTGTCCTATTTTTGTTCCATTTTATAGTTCCTTTTTAAGCGATAAAATAAGAATGATGTGAATCTTTGATCCCCTTTCAAAATGAAAAGCTAAATAATTTATGTTTAAACGATATTTAATTAAACGATATTTATTCTGTAGCATTTCCTTCACTTTTAGTGCAACCACATCACCTGACATGTATTATTGTCTTTGGCAGGAGACTTATAATTAAAAGGAAAATAATATGACAGGCCTATACACCCCAGTACATGTACTTTTAAACAGTAAAAATAAACGAATGCCAGCACGGCAAAAATGAACATAAAATGACATTGATATATAGAATAATTACCATTTGATTTCTGCAATTTCCCCCCTTATTTAATGTTGCTGGGATGTACTCAAGCATTTGTTTCCAGCTGACCACATGCTCACCTCCTGTTCTGGTACCAGGTTTTGACCTGCGTGTCGGTCAGGTTGAGAGAGGCTGCCAGCTCCATCCTGTCCTGCACACTCAGATACTTCTGACGCTCAAAACTGCGCTCCAGCTGGGCGAGCTGATGGTCAGTGAAGGCGGTCCGCGCTTTCCGTGGCTTCTTCAGGCGAACCTGCGGGCTGTCTCTGCTGCTCGAGATCTCCCTGTCGCCCTCCTCTTTCACTGAAACATCACATTGAACGAAAGGGCACTGATTAGCATGAGTTAGTTAGCCCAGGTGTTTCAGTAGACCCTGCTTTGGCAAGTTATCACATGTTCTGGTGTCAAAGGTTTCCACACACCTCCTCTGATGGTCCCGCGCGTGCTTGTAATTCTGTCATGCATTTTTCAGATTTTATTTTCAGAATGTGAATACACGAGGGTTGTGATATTTAATTCACCCCTCTCTCCCTATCCAAACCAAACTATTTTCTCTCTGAAGACAGAAAGAGAGGGACACGACGCGAGAGACCTTGCCAGTCGAGTAGTTGAGTCGTCTCTCAAGGAGCACAATAATCCGGCTAATTGAGCCACAAGGGATGGAAACCTTTCAACCGAGACCGGAGAAACTTCACAGGGCCGGGGATAAGAGCGAAATAAAGAGCGGACCGACCCCGTGCGTTACAAATCTGATTAGCACTGGGACAAATTGCATCAAATCCCTGAAAAATAAGGGGGTAGAAAGGCAAAAAATCAAAGCGGCGCACACACTCTTTACAAGCGCTCTGGAGATGGAATGGCTTTGATTTGGAGAGCATTAATTTTGATCACCGCGCCTATAGACTTGCCAAGCTAATAATGTCATGATGTGAGAGTAGAAATATATTTGGATTCATAGCTGAAGGCAGGCGAATAGGTGAGACCCATCGTGCCCTACTTCCACTAAGAGAGCAAGATTTTGGTGATAAGACTTTTACAAAATTATCAGAATCAGCAACGACGATAGCAGTCTTCAGTATAGGCCAAACACATGGACACCATCAACCATAAACACGTGCATATAATACTACTATTTCTTTCTTTGTAATAATAATAACAACAAATAGTTATAAAAATAGCATTAATTGTCGTATTTAATAAGGGCATATTCCTAAATTTATCAATAGTGTTTGACCTAAAATCTACGTAATGTTATGTCACAGGAAGCGATCTTTCACTCTTTTTTTTCCCCCTCAGATGTAATTTCACCTGGACAAATCCTTAATGAATCTTGCTGATGATGTTTATCTGTTCAACTTCCTTTGCCCTGCACCTAACAATAACCTCTGCATTAATAAGCACGTTAAAATGTACAATAGTGAATAGTTCACGTAAACAAAAATGAGCAATATTTCTTGCACTGAAATCACAAAGATTTCAGGATTTTTGCACTAACGACAAATGCCTTTATTGTTTTAAAAATATTTAACATGTATTTTACGAGAGTTGATTGTAAAATGTTTTGGATTATAAAATGATTATGCCATGTGCATTAGCCTATATCTATCTATCTATCTATCTATCTATCATTGGCATATCGCATCTGTTGTCCTTTATAAACAACGCCATGAAATGAATTTTTGCAGTTTCATTATAATTCTATTTTTTATTTTCTATCCCCAAATTATAGGGTAGTCAGAAAGCCAACCTGCTTAAACTCTATGCTATATAAATGTGTCAAGTTCTAGTTCATGTGCAATTATTTTAAAATATCACTAAAAGCGAAGTGATATTTTTACCTTTGTATTCACTGTCGGACGATGAGTTACTGTGGATCTTTTCAATGAAGTCTTCTGCGATTTTAGATGCCAGTCTCCCTGCCTCCTGAGTCGGCTGGCCGTTACTGGAGTAAGGAGCACACGCCGCTAAGGGTTTACAGTCAGCCAGAATATCTCTTATTAAGAAGGATGAAGTGACAGTCCGAGGTTGCGATCCAACGGAGATCGGCCCGTGCTGCAAATGGGACGCGAGCCCGAGCAGGTGACCCTGTCTCTGCGCCACATCCTCACCGCACTCCCGCCGCGGGGACGGAGGAGTAGAACAACCGCTCTCTAAGTCTGACCTGGGGCTGAACTCCAGCGGGGACCGGCATTCTCCAACCAAACTGTCCCCCTTCGCGATGACTGGGCTTCCGGGCCTGTGGGATAGCAGGGAGTCGATTCCAAAACTGGAGCCGTTGGTGGACGCTTCCATCTCCACACTGCTGCTTGCGTGAAGCCTCTGTTCAGATTATCATCTGTATTCAAGCAAGTTCTGCGTGAATGGCGCTCGATTTAATAGCGATCTATCCAGGAGGAACATCCAAAGCAGAATCGGAAATGATAATTATTCATCCCCTGTCTGGGAAAAAAAAAACTTTCTTCTTCCTTGAGGACTTTTAGTTTAAGTTTAAAAAGGAAAAGGAGGTTTCTTGAGGAAGTTCTGTATGAAGTACACACAGACCCTGCCTCCAAAAAAAATGTTTTTTTTTTTTCTTTAGCTCCTCACTCACTCCTCAAAAAAAATCGATACAGCCTAAATATACTCTCGGCTGGCAAATTTAATTAATTTTTTCAATCCCGGTATTTCTCGAAGACGCGAGACGCATCGATGGCAGCTTTGAATTATTTATCAAATTATTTTAAAAAGCTGTTCTGAAGTAACAGTGTTAGTGTAAAACCGCAAGGTAGCCTACTTAGAGGTCGCGCGCATTTCAGCACCACGGACAGAAGCGAAGCGGCGTCAGCTCGAGCCTCGCGTCTATCGAGCAGCTGAAATTTTCATCAGTTCAAAGGTAGTTCGCTGTGGCGAGTAGAGTCGAATCCGGATGGAAAAGCCAAGTGCATTCTGTGCCGGCGTAGATGATGCAATGCGAAAGCGTTGGACGGTAAAGCGCTGAAAAAATGCTGTGAGAAGACAGAAGCGCGAATGAGGTAATGCAGGTTAAATAGACACATTGGGGAACGGAAAGTCAGATAAAGCCTAACAAATGAACTTGTGCAGAACTCAGTGGCTAGGTTTTTAAGGGCACCCCTTCCACGTGAGTCCCCAGCGACTCGCTTCCATTGGTTAGGAGGTGTTTTGGGGTGTTGACTGGCTCGCTAAGAGGAAATCGGACCCCCCCACGCCCAATAAACCCCTCCCCACAGGTCGCCCACTTTGATTAAAAGAGACACTGAATTCATTAGGAGACTCGGATCCAACTGTTTACAGGCAATTTTCACACTGTTTGCTTTCATTACATCATTGATGAACCTTATAATGGGGTTATTATGAGGAGTGGGGAGGTCTTTTCTCTCCTCTCCTCCTAGCGCGCGTTCAGTCAAGTCTTGACCACTTTCTCACAATTCGGCCATTTTTCTCAAATAATTCCCTTATAGTTTCTCCCGTTGAATTTAAGCATTGATTTTGATAGATTTCATTTTAATTACAATATTTTTAAGGCGCGCAGTTAGCTACACTTCTAGTAGGCTATAAAGTTATGTCATTTATATTATAAAAAAGGGTCAATGACGCGACGTTCATTTTTATTCAAAATATATTAGTGATTTAATTCATATTAAAAATGACATACACTTTTGCTATAATTAACATACTTTAAGTTTCTGTATTTAAGTCATTTGATTTTTTATTTATTTATTTTCTTTTTAATCTAAATATTTATATCTAAAATATTTTTTATCAAATATTTTATTGGTGTATACGCATTTAGGAATAAAAAAAAAAAAAGTCTCATTAAAAAGATGAAATTCTGAGAACAAAAAAATGTTGACATACGCAGTTTTGCATTAACCCTAGTGTGGTGTTCATTTATTGGTGTATACGCATTTAGGAATAATAAAAAAAAAAGTCTCATTAAAAAGATGAAATTCTGAGAACAAAAAAATGTTGACATACGCAGTTTTGCATTAACCCTAGTGTGGTGTTCATATTTTTGTTACTCAGCCAGTGTTCGTGGGTCTGGTGGACCCGCTGCAGTTTTGGGTTTTTAATTCAACACAATCAAAAATTATTCATTGAAAATGGAAAATTTCTGAAAATTGAAAATTTGTTCTGATATATGTTCTTCACAGAAAATGAGCCAAGGCTTAAAAAACATT